GGGTGGGCACCGTGGGGGGCTGGGTGGGCCGGGCGCCATGGGGGGGCTGGGCAGTCCGAGCCGGGCGGGCGCCGCGGGGGCTAGGCGGGCCGGGCTGGGTGGGCGCCAGGCAGACCGGTGAGCCGTCCCCGGCGCGCTCTCTCTGCCCGCAGGCAACGTGAAGCAGTTCGCCCTGTTCCTGTACGACGCCGTGGTGCTGCAGTACATGGACACGCTGAAGCTGGCGGTGCCCTCGCTGATCTACACGCTGCAGAACAACCTCCAGTACGTCGCCATCTCCAACCTGCCGGCAGCCACCTTCCAGGTGGGACCCCAGCCCCGACGCCGGGCTTGATGGGCCCGTCGGTGTGCCCGGGGATACTGGGGTGGGGGGTCCCATGCGAGGCTGGGGGCAGTCAGGAGGGGATGCCGGCCTGGCCCCCCGCGGTTCTGACCTGCCTGCCCGCCGCCCCGCAGGTCACCTACCAGCTGAAGATCTTGACCACGGCTGTCTTCTCCGTCCTGATGCTCCACAGGAGCCTGTCGCGCCGGCAGTGGCTGTCGCTGCTGCTGCTGTTCGCCGGCGTGGCCATCGTCCAGGTGGAGCAGGGCCAGGCGGGCGGGCAGAGCTCCCCGGGCTCGGCCCCCCAGAGCTACGCGGTCGGCCTGGTCGCCGTGGTGGTCTCCTGCCTCTCCTCGGGCTTCGCCGGCGTCTACTTTGAGAAGATCTTGAAGGGCAGCTCGGCCTCCGTCTGGCTCCGCAACGTGCAGCTCGGCATCTTCGGGACCCTGCTGGGGCTGGTGGGCATGTGGTGGGCCGAGGGGGCGGCCGTGGCCGCCCAGGGCTTCTTCCACGCCTACAGCCCGCTGGTGTGGGGCGTGGTCCTCAACCAGGCCTTCGGCGGCCTCCTGGTGGCCGTGGTGGTGAAGTACGCGGACAACATCCTCAAGGGCTTCGCCACCTCGCTCTCCATCGTGGCCTCCACCGTGGCCTCCATGTACCTCTTCGGGTTCCGGCTGCACCCGCCCTTCGCCCTGGGGGCTGGGCTGGTCATCGGGGCCGTCTACATGTACAGTCTGCCCAAGGCCGGGCCGCCCCTGGGCCCCCGCCAGGAGCCCACCACCCCGCCGCCCCTCGGCAAGGAACCCAGCGAGCCGGGCTACCTGCCCAAGTCAGTGCTGGTTGAGTGAGGCCTGCTAGGGGGGTGGGGTGGGGGGTCTCTCCTGGGCTGTGAGCCCCTCCTGGTCTCCCCTGCCCCCTCCATCTGTCCTTGCCCCCCCACATCTCCCTGCCCCTCCTACCTTGGCTCCTGCCCCAAGTCTCCCTCACTTGAGAGGTCTTTGGGGGGAAGCATGTCCCCCTTTTCCATCCCCTCCAAGCATTCTGCTGCTGCTCCCCTCTGGATCCCCTGCCCCACATCTGTCCCCCGCCCTGCTCCACTTCAGACCCTGTTCCCCTCTCCTGGGGCAGGATGACAGACCCCCGACGCTCAGCCCAGGAGAGGCATTTAGGTGCACACTACAGGGGGGAGAGGTTATGTGGGGGTCACCTCCAGCCCCCCAAGAGACCATGATTCCCCCCCCCCCCGAGCCGCAGGGGCCGGCAAATGGATTGAGCCAGAGGATTATTTTTGTACGATACCAAAGCAGCCCCGATGGCCGGTGCATCAAGACGGGGGGCGGGAGGGAGCCCCCAGGAATGGCTCGGCCGTACCAAGCTGGCACATGGAGGAAGGACTCACCACCCTTCCAAAGGGCGATGATTCGCCCAGGCACTGTGGGAGTGCTGCCCCCTGGACTCCCCACAGCACCCCCTTTGTCGGAGTAGTCTCACGCACAGCCCCCCAACTTGTTAAGTTGAGGGAAGGAGCTGGGAACCAGGACTCCTGGGTTCTCTCCCTGGCTCGGGGGGGGGGGGGAAATGGGGTCTAGTGGGTAGAGCAGGGGGGCTGGGAGTCAGGACTTGCTGTCTGTAAATTTCAGCGGAGTTCCTCCCCCAACACTGTGACTCAGTTTCCCCCGGGTGTTCCAGGACGCGGACCTGGGGCTCGGCTGGGTGGGAGCCATTAATTACTAACCCATATCTCCCCGGTGGGAGGCGGCGTCCCTGGGCGGGCAGATCCCGGGGGCAGTGGGGACAGAGGATGCTGTGGTACCATACAGCGGGGAGCAGACGGTGTGAACATGCAGCGCCCCCCGACTCCACTGCAAACCCCTTCCCAGCAGCTGGGGGGCTGGCCCCATTGCCGCTGCTGGGGGCTATCCCCAGGGACTCCATGGAGTGACGGCTGATGGACGCCGGGGGGCTGGCCCCTACCTCAGACAAATGAGATGACTAGATATATTTTGTGTCACTCTACCCTGTGCTGCTATTGAGGGGTGGGGGCCTGGGAGCCAGGACACCTGGGTTCTCTCCCTGGCTCTGGGATGGGAGTGGAGTCTAGGTGGTTAGAGGAGGGGAGACTGGGAGCCAGGACACCTGGGTTCTCTCCTGGGCTCTGGGATGGGAGGGGAGTCTAGTGGTTAGAGCAGGGAGGGGATCCAGGGCTCCTGGGTTCTATTCCTGGCTTGGGGGGTCTGGGGTCTCATGGCTCTGCCTCAGTTTCCCCCCACTGTACAGCATCCCAGCTGTGGGGAGCTGGTCCCTGTGCTGTCCCGGCGGGAAAGCTGTTTGCCCCACGGCTCAGGGAGTGTGTGTGGGGGGGGACTGAGGGGGTGTTAGAACAGAAGAATGGCCGTACCGGGTCAGACCAAAGGTCCATCTAGCCCAGTGTCCTGTCTACCGCCAGTGGGCACTGCCAGGTGTTAGATGAAGGTCACAGCCCTGGTAACCAGGGTGGGGGCCGGGGGCGTTGTGATGGTACATGCGCCGTCATCTGATGCCCTGCTGACCTGGGGGAAGGGGCTAGCTTATCGCTTAGGGTCTGCGTCCCAGCCAGGACGCCTGGGTTCTCTCCCCGGCTCTGGGAGGCGAGTGGAGGCTGGTGGCTCAGAGCAGGGGGCTGGGAGCCCGGACTCCTGGGTTCAATTCTCAGCTCCAGCCCTCTCTGCCTCCGTTTCCCTCCCTGCCCCAAAGCCGGGGGGAGCGCTGCTTTGCCAAGGGGCCAGCGGGCTGGGTTTGGGGCGGGGCACACCCTCCCGCGGGGGCACTACCACTGCACATAGATGCCGGGGGACATATTTTGTACGGACCGGGGGTGGGTGGGTTTTTTAAACGCCTGTAACCCTGCCGGCCGCTGTCCTGTCTGCAGAGCCGCCGCGCGGAATAAAGAGAGTGTATTTATTTAGCTGGCGTGCCTGGTGATTGATGGGGGACGACAACACGTGTGTGTGGGGGGGTCCTAGGATTCGTGTTAGTGCATGACCTCTAACCCTACTAACAGCTGGGGAATGGGGCAGGGGCCTATCCCCTCTGCAGGGCACTGGCTCCCACCCGGCCCCAGGGCAGGGACTGGCTGGCTCAGGGGGGCAGGGAATGGGGCTGGGATCTGTCCCCTCTGGGGGGCGCCGGCTCCCACCCAGCCCCAGGGGAGGGACTGGCTGGCTCAGGGGGGTGGGGAGTGGGGCAGGGGCCTGTCCCCTCTGCAGGGCACCAGCTCCCACCCGGCCCCAGGGCAGGGACTGGCTGGTTCAGGGGGGCAGGGAATGGGGCAGAGCCTGTCCCCTCTGGGGGGCACCGGTTCCCACCTGGCCCCAGGGCAGGGACTGGCTGGCTCAGGAGGGC